GCTTTGAGTGTGCTGTAGTGCAGAGAAAAGTGCTACAGTATACAAGACCGTTTACAAAAAGGATCAAAATCAATGCAGCAAAACCTTTTTAAAAAATACTTTATTTATAGTACTTGCAGCATTCTTCATCCTCTTCAACTTACACAGGCTCTGTCCAGAGTTCATGACCCTACAGCCTTCAAGATGCTGGTAAACAGACCTTTCTGTTGGAGATTGGACATTAGACTGTCAGGGCTTTGAAGGACAGAAGAAAGAATTGGTCAGGCTGGTTGTCTCTTTTGCTTCCTGTTTGGTTTTGGAAAGGCCAGTACTAAAAGTTTTGAAGAGGTCTTCTTTTGGATTTTTTCTTTTAGATGCATTTTTTTTTTAGCTGCTTTCTGTCTTCCTGACCGCTTTGTCCTCCTTATCTCACTGTTATTTTTACTGTGTATGTTAATTCCCAGTGCATCTCACTATTTAGTCTCCATCTCTTTTATCTTTGCCTTCTCTCGCTCTTCTGCTTATCTGCTTCGTTCTCTTTATTGCTTTTTCTGCAAACTCCCTTTTATTATCATTTATTTATGTATTTTTGGTAGGAATTTTACAGACTTTAAAGTTTAAAGAATGCTATCAAACTCTGTGTTTTACACTACTTATAGTCATCGTTTTTCCTGAAATAGCCATTCACTGATTTTATGTTCAGTAATTACTACACTGTATAGTAGCTTTTATTGGTCGTGGCAGTCTGCCATTCCTGCGCTGGGCTCAGATTACCTCCAGTGTTTAAACATGATTAACAGAAAACTGTACATGCAGGTAATCCAGGGCAATTTTCTCTCACTGTTGTCAGCCTCACCGTGTTCTGTTCACCACATCAGAACTGCAGTGAGTTACTGCGTTTGGTACTGTGTCTCTGTGGTTAGCACTGAACAAGTGTTGTCAAAAATGTGTCTATAAAACAAAGCCGGTTACTTTTGCCATTTTTAAAGGGCTGGACATAAATCTGACAACATTCAGGCCAACTTAGAATGAACTATACAGTGCAATGGATTTAGTACGTCTCTGATACTTTTATTTCTGGTCGGGCTCAGGAGGGACTTCTTCTGTATTTTCAAAATTTTCCTTTTGAATTTTTAATTCTTTTCTTGACAAGATAAAATTTGTATGTAACAGTTTGATAATACTGTCTGCAATGTACTGTATATAGAGACAGAGAGACAGTCCCAGTATGTGTGTGTGGGTGGGTGGGTGGCTCATGTTGTGGGGGATGTAAATCAGTTTACAAAATGCAGTGATTTGCAAGAAGCAAATCACTGCATTTTATAGTGACAACTTGGTTTAAGGTTAGGGATGGCCAGGGTGAGTTAGGGTAGTGGTTATGGTTACAGTTAGGACAAGTCTCCAGGTAATGATTGTAAGCCAGTGTAATGTCCCCTGACATGATGGAAACACAATGTGTGTGTGTGTGTGTGTGTGTGTGTGTGTGTTCCAGACTGCTTTGGTGGGTTTAGTCTGCACCTCATCTTTACAGCCAAGTACTAACACCATGGTTTCTTAACCAAATGCTGACACACATGCACATACACACATACTCCCAAAAAGAAAACATTCAAGGCATGCTGTCTTTCCTCCAGCAGCATCCTGCAGTGGATCTGCTGTACACGTCGCTGGAGTCCTACAGCCTGCAGAGGGCAGGTGGCAGGTGCAATTTCATGTCAGATATTTCAGTGTTTTACTGCCACAGTGCCAGTATGGATCCATGGTGTTGACCTCCTTCTAACTGAGGAAATCAATTACTAGAATGCTGTTGCAATTATTGTTGAACATCTTTCTCAAACTATATGTAAGTACTCATGAAGATTGATGGTGTCCTTGTATCAGTTCGGAGCTTTGTCATTAGTGAATACACACAAATCTTTTCTGAAGCGCTGTAATAAAAACCAAAAGCTACAAATATTAATTACTGGTCAAATCATGTTTTTAGTGCAGTCCCTTTTACAGCTACCACTCTTGGTTTTATGTATTCACAGTGAGGCCTCCTGGGATTCAGTATGGATTTTGTTTGCCTGCACTATCAATTCTCCAGCACTGAACTTTATGACTCAAACACGATGCTGCAGGAGGTCCATATTAAAATGCTTACATGCCTTTTCCAGCAGATGTGACTGCCCACCTGCTTCCATCTCCTTAATTGTCTACAGTTACTTTTCTTGTGCCAGAAATTGCTTCTGGAGTTGGATTTGTTTCTAGTGTCTCCTTCGTATTTCCTGTTTGCTGACGATGACACAGCACTCCATCCTGGGAGATGGCACCCTGCTGCTTGCAGTAAATCAAGCTTGATTCACACTTCACAGATTGTGCCGTTGCCTCCTTTTTGGCAGCCATTTATGTCATAACAAAAGCTTGAGAGAGGCTGAGAGCAGGCTTGAGAATGACATCACCTTGAACTGGATATTTTCAATTGGATGAATCCATCTTTTATATTGTTTGCAGAAATAGTTTTTCCTCCTATCAGAAAAGGGTGAAACTTATCAAATATTAAAGATGCTATCAGGCCCAGTCATGACAAACAAAAGTGTGGCCTAAGCTTCCACCTCCTACTTTCTATCTCTTCCTCCTAAAGGCTCTATTCTATCATAAAGCCACGTCCGGTTCTTTCAAACCAGGAACTCAGAGGGACGACTCAGACCACTTGGATATATAAAAAATATAACCGTGCTGGTTTATTCAAAGAGTCACAGGCAAAATGAACATTACAAGTCCAGAGATCTTCCAACCCCCAGGCTGCCCAAGCAGCCCGGAAGCAGAAAAGACCCTGAACCAAGAATTGCTATACAATATCATCACCTAGTTGGCTCGCCCCCTCCTCCACAGAAACGTCAAACGAGACGTCTCTCTCTCACCAGCTTTGCAGCTGGCTATAACGTTAGCCAAAACATGAGGAAAAGTCAAGGTGTGTGGCTGTTGTTTTCGTGGTGTGTATCTAAAACAATTTGACATAACATTACACATTAAGACAAATATTATGGTTACTTTTACCGTCATAATAACATTTATCCCTGACCGCAGCCTTTCTCTGCTTTAACTTACCTTGCATTTAACAACCTGAGGAAGACATCCTGGCTACACTAACATGTTCTAATACAACAGATCTCTAATCAATATCTATCTAACTAAGAAATTACCTAACACTCCTATGCAAGGTGCTTCCCTGGTGTCTTTTCCCTCACCATTTTCTCTACACATCTTTTTATACAGTACCTCCTTCTTATGGTGGCCCTGAGAGTAGCAAAAAAACAAAAAAAAGCACAGTTGCAAAACACAAGAAAATGTAGAGAAAACCCCCACATCCGTATGGCTTTATTAGCATATGCACACTGAGAAACAAAGAATACTGCATAGGAATAAAACACAGGAAAGCCAAGAAACACACTAACCAGTTTGACAACTCATGTGGAGCATCTGTAAGACCAGTTATTACTATCTTTGACATAATAACCATGGGCAGTAAAAGTAATTTTACTGATATATTAAGAATGGTGCTTTGTTATTCTTACATCTCAATTGATTTTTAAATCAAATATTAAACTGAAAACAATATTTTGAGTTTTTGTGCCCATCAGGATTCTGTAGGAATGATGGCTCCATTTTAGCAGTAAGCTGATTGACAGGTTTTGATTTGATCCCCTGAAGTTAACCTGCTCCAGAGCAGTGCTACGTGTGTTTGGTTGTGTTGCCTAGTTGTATAGTTTATATTTGGTTCTGGTGTCCAAATTTATTTGTGTTGCTTGTATTTCGTCATGTTGCCTATATTTGGTTGTATGTAATGTTTTTTAATGCAGCCGATGTTGTCAAACTGGTGAACATGCTAAATTTGATACATTTGCTTGTGTTGTTTAGTTTAGTTTTGTTCTTTGGCTGCAGTGTGTCGAGCTCTCTCCACTATTCATGCACTGAGCAAATAGTCTCATTTTTAGTTCTGATTTGTGTGTAAGAAACTGCAGGGGGATCCTACTGTAGCCATTTGTGTAGTAGTTTTTGTGTACACATGCACAGCTATTGGATTCCAAGGTTATTCCTCAGTGTCTGGCACAGTCATACTCAGAGACACATCTTTAAGCGAGAGCAGATACAGAGGAGCTTAATGATGGCTCAGTGCAGAGCTGGATGAATCGATGGTGGTGGGGGCATTGACGCGTGATGAATTGAAGGGTTAATCGGTCAGGTATCTCTAATGGCCCGACATAGGAATGGAAAAATAAAAATAAATTAGTGGAAAGAAAGCCTGAGTCTGTATCCATCTGCCAAGGGCTTTTGTGGTATTGATTGGCACAAGACACTTAAAGCCTGATGCATTGTCAAGACTGCATTACCGATCTGAATGCACAGTCACAGTCTGGCTTCCACAAGGCTTTAGAATAAATAACTAGAGGTTGGATGAACAGGTGAAACCCTCCGGCTGCCTCACACACATCTAATGTGGTACAGTTACAGTTTTGTTTTACCACTTATTGTGCATTCAGCCCTCAAGTCCAGAGACTGTCATGCTACAGTAAAATGAAGACTTCTAGTGAAATGACTTAGGCTTTGCTGACTGTAATTACTACTCGGAAACCCAGAATGACTTTGTTGCACTCTGGGTGGCCTCCCCATTCACTCTGAGACTGTCCCGGGCTCATTTAGATGAGTGAGTAAATATTTAGGCTGTGTTTAAGGACTCCTGCAGCTGCGGTAAGGAAGAGGGGGACTGATTCATATATCATAGCTTGATAAGCTAAGAGAAACACTTACATTTACAATAAGTCTAATACCCCCCAAACCTTCCAGGTGCATGTATTCCAATACCATGCTTCACCATGGAGATGTATTTTAAATGTGCAGTTGATTTAATGAAAAATCCTCACACTTCTGTTCACGACAAGCCTTTGGACGCCATTTTCCTAATTTCCTACTCTGTCAGTCTTCTAGCCACTCAAGATGTAATGGTCTGTAGTGATTTAATTTATCCATTGTCTTCACAGGTCATCTTTGAAGCGACTGTTTCTGAGGAGCGACAGGGTTACATAGCCTTGGACGACATTGTGCTGCTCAATTACCCCTGTTGTAAGTACCCCACTCTGCACTGCTCACAGCCTACCTGCTAACCTTTACTGGGTCTGGGAAAGTGTCCGGCTGAACAATGGACACCGGGACTAGAAAGCTCAACAGTTTCTCACGTTATTGACAACTATGAAGCAATTGTGCTGACGGGGGGCAAATGAAGGCACATATACCTGGTGCCTGTCCAAGTGTCAGAGTCATAATAACACAGCAGGAGGCTTGTCTTTTGTCCTGGCAGAATGGCTGACCTTTTCTTCTGATCACTATGCTCCCAGCCGGGTGCTTTTAAAGCTAATGTGATGGTACAGGCAGGAAAAGGACAGCCAGTGCTTGTATTTGATCAGTCTCTGGGAGCTTTTTTCTTATCAATGGGATACTGGGAGGTTGGAGCTTCATGAGTGCTAGTAATGTCACATTATGTTCTGTTACAATTTTATGCCCCACAGTCTTTTGTACACAGGCTCTGTAGAGATGTTGTACCCTTCATAACATACTGTTTCACTGCTGTGCTGTTTCCAAGATGACTAGCTCCACTGGATGCTATAGACAATGGTCTATAGAACTGATTGGTCTTCCTGGAACTAGCTTAGCTCACTGAAGATTTCTGCTGACCCATGCTGATCCCTAAAATGAAATTAACACTGAGCCAGAAAAGGAAATATGATTCAGTTGAAAATGGAGTCACTGGCTTTTAAATAAAGACTATGTAGATTTAGCGGTCACTGGTTTGGCCAGTTACTGTTTTTCAACTGTGATATGATGCAGAATGTTATTATACACAATTACTCTATAACCAGTCATTTGGTCACTTCTACATTGGTTGTTACCAGAAAGGCATTAACCTAAACTGAGTATAATGTATATAATTTAATTTCACACATGTATATACTTGTTAGAAATTAACCCGATTCTTAAGTTGGAAGCATGAGAAGTGACGACAGGAGAGGACTGTTTAAAATCAACAGAAAGTTTACTGAAAGTCTTATCACAGGTAGGCCTTACAGCGCTGGGATCAGAGGGGCAGAGCTCCCGCAGGAGTTCCATCCACTGACTGCGAATTAAGGTCTTACAATACATTTTATCTTCTTGGGCTGCTCCGCCCTGGACAGAGGTGCAACCTTCAATAGTTAGTGATCCTATTGGTCATTTGGTGTGAGCCGGAGCTCGCACTTCTATGCTGAAATATGGTAAATCTAGCTATGTGTGTGTGTGTGTGTGTGTGTGTGTGTGTGTGTGTGTGTGTCTCGGGGGGCG